ATCTAGGCTACAAAATATTGCAATGAAAGCAAAAATGAGGGTGGTAGCTACATCGATCCAGTGAACATTTACAAACAAGGTTTTAGCTAAAGTCCTCCGTTTCTCTGTGGGCCTCCCTTAGCTTCAACAAGCTAGATACTGAGCTACAGCACTGAAGCTACAACCTTTCAACATACAGTATTTATGGTAACAAGATTTGAAAAGTTTTCAGTGTTTTCACTCAAGGTTTTGGAGTATAAAAGATTTCCAGGATAAATAATGAAAATATTTGAATCTATTCTATTAGCATTAGGTCACTCTAGTAACTATGAAATTATTTTTGTATTTTCATATTTATTTATTACTCAGAATTTTTCCCAAAGTGGCAAAGAACTATAAATATAACACTTTTCAGAAGCTATTTTTTTGTTTGTTTGTTTTTGCTTTTGTTTTTGTTTTTGTCGGAGCTGAGGACCGAACCCAGGGCCTTGAGCTTGCTAGGCAAGTGCGCTACCACTGAGCTAAATCCCCAACCCCCAGAAGCTATTCTTATCCCTGGGTCCACAATAATAAAAACATGGTGAGAAAAATTAAACAAGGGTACTGTTTTCAATACTTCATGCTAGGATATACAAGTAAGATTTTACTGAATATTATTAACAAATTTCTCAGTTTGAAAGTCAAATTATCAATGAACATATTAATCTAGGAAACACTGTTTTTTTAAATTTTCTTAAAGCCAAACTATTCCTTTCAATAGAAGAAATTGTTGAGCTGTGATTTACACTCAGTGGTGACTTGAGTGTAAACAAGGTGCTACAATTGACCTCAGCACTTAAAAACATGGAATCTGTTACCTCAAATGGAATATGCTACTTCATTTTTTTGCTTCTGTCTAATTCATACATTCTGGAATTAACGTTTTCCTGCATATATATATATATATACACATACATACATACATACATATATATATATATATATATATATATCTGCATCCTACATTTTAAAACGAGTTGTCCTCAAACTCTTATAGTCGCACTTTCACCAATTATTCATTACCGTAAACTACTTTTCCAATATCAAATCAATTCTTAAATCAACTACTTAACATTGTAACACTAACAGCTCTATAGAAATAGCTCTGCACACACATATAGTTAATATTAGCAGTAGAACCATATTTATAGCACAACATTCATAATGATGCAGTATCTTAGTTGTCTCTCATGTTCTTGTATAAACAAGTGAAAATAATAAAAGCAGTAAAGAACTAGTATTAATAAGAAGTAGAGCCCTCAAGTCTTTCACAATAAACTTACTCATTAAACAAATTTTTTGAGCATTTTCTGTGCACAAAGTAACATTCTAGGTGCTATGAACACATTGGAGAACATAAAACTTATATTCAAATGAATATAAATAAAATGTGTTTAAGTTGACCCAGAAAAAATCATTAGGTGAGCCAAAATCAAAAATGTCAGATTAAGTTTCAAATTTAACTATAATATAGCCCATTAATTTAAATGGCATATCTTACAAATTGCTATTTCCACCAAAAAGGTTAAAATTATGTGTGAATTCTAGAGTCGGTGAACAGAACAGAAGTGATGCAAGGATTAGTAAGGTAAAGTTCAGAGACAGTGATTATCAACATCAGTTCTTAGAGCACTATGTAACTGGTTATATAACCAATTACATAAAGTAAATTAAAAATCCATACCATGACAAACACCTCAATACACAGCACATTGTTCAAACATATACACACAAAAAAAATCTAAAATAGGCACCTTTCTGCGGGAGGCAAAGGTTTATTAACAAACAGTACAGTAGAACTGTTTCCACACAAAGTATCTACAGAAAACATTACACACAAAACTGAGCTTCTGACTGCTGCTACTGGAGGTGGAGTGTACACACACATCTGAAACCAGAGATACACTACAATCTTAACTACTATGGAGTTTTGGTAACTTTATTTTCTTTATTTCAGTACTTTCCAAATTGGTAAATATTACACAGTTGAAGTTCAAATGATGCTATTAAATGACAATGGTACTTACTTAAATATAGTTGCTTTTTCAAATATAAAATTTTTCCATTAATATTCATGTAACATAATCTACTCTTTAGAAATACTAGCAAAAAATGTTCATTTGAGTCTGGCAGTAGTGGCACATGCCTTTACTCCCAGTACTCAAGAGGCAAAGGCAGGAGGATCTCTGTGAGTTTGAGGACAGCCTGGTCTACAGAGGTAGTTCCAGGACAGCCAAGGATACACAGAGAAACCCTGTCTCAAAAAAAAAGAAAAAAGAAAGAAAAAAGAAAAGAAAAAAGAAAATGTTCATCCAAAAAATAAACATAAAAATATGACACAAGCATGTGACCAGGCATGGTAGCACGTCCTTTTAATCCCAGTACTTGGGAGGTAGAGGCAGGCAGATCTCTATGGGCTACATAGACCCTATCTAAAAAAGAAAAGAAATGAAATGATTTTTCCTTTTTTTTTTTTTTCAATTTAACAACTTGCTTGAATGCATTATCATTAAGAATTGCCAAAATGGAGAGCCGGGCGGTGGTGGCGCACACCTTTAATCCCAGCACTCGGGAGGCAGAGCCAGGCGGATCTCTGTGAATTCAAGGCCAGCCTGGGCTACCAAGTGAGTCCCAGGAAAGGCGCAAAGCTACACAGAGAAACCCTGTCTCGAAAAAAAACAAAAAAAAAAAGAATTGCCAAAATGAAGTTTTAGAAAATAAATTACTATCCAGCTGAGCATAGATACTTGTAAATCCTAGAACTAGGAAAACTGAAACCATAGGTGTATGCACACCTTCATATATACACACAAATGAATACTTACAGGTGCATATACCATACTCACAAATAGAGAGGGAGTGTATCTTAGCATTAACTGAGCCCTTTAAAGTATTCTTTTAAAGCTTTGTGTAGCAAATCCACAAAGACACAAGAAGCATGAGTACCTCCTTATCTTTTTTTTACTACTTCTGACATTTTGATTTGTCTGCAGTACCTCAGCAGAAACCTTGCATCATTCTCCCTGTACAAAGATCACAGACATTAAGATACATTTGGTTGGACTGTCAAATTATTTTGCCAAATATCATGAAGATCCAGTCCAATAGGGTCCTACAGAAGACTACCCAGGACAATAAGTCAAATGTATCCTGGTAGCACATTGTCCAAGAGAGTCATCACCCTCAGTAGGCTTCCCTTCTCCACTGTTGGCATCTGCTGCCTGAGGAGATTCATGGTGAAATAAGAGCATCACAGGGTAGCAACCATGCTGTTACTGTTTGAGGAAGCATCTTCTTCCCTTTAGTAGGAAAACCTTCAGGTATCATGCAGAAACCTTAGGGAGAAAAAAAGGGAAAAGAAATTAATTAATGGCATTGCTGCACATCATGCATAAATGATAAGACTGTCATCTGTCCTTTATTCTTTAAGCTCCTTGTGTCCACCAAAAAGGACTCAAATAGTATTTGTCCCTTTACCACAAAACAGGTAACTCCTGGGAAGCAGACAACTAGATGACCAGTAAATATAACTAGAAGATTTCAGATTAACTCAAATTGTAATTATATTATTTTTTTAATAAGTGAGGAAGATGTTGACGGACTCCATAAAGACTTGAGTACACCACTGACATAAGAGAAATGCAAGCTATGCA